ATAAACACACGCTATAATTCACAAAGATTCACATACTTTACTTACGGTGCCTCCTGTTCGCTAGACTCAGTTATTTCTCTTCAATCTATCTTCGGCTTATATACTTAAAAAAAAGGGCGTCTAGCAAACGCTGGGAAATTCGTGAGGTTGCCCGCTAAATCACGATCCTTCTAGAAACTCCAACGCGTCGCATGACTTCCGCTGTCGTAACAATACCAAAATGTCTATATCCCTTCAGTATGCACTGAAAATTCTGAAAGAAAATAATATCCACTTTAAAATGATTTTCCTTATAATAAATAAATTAAAAACGAAGAAAAGAGATAATGAAATTGATATAACTGGTTCGGAAAAGATGTTTCTATAAACGATTTAAGAATCCGTTTAATAACAGAAAAAAAAATGGCAAAAGAAAAACATTCACGTGTGTTTAAAAAGTTTATAAAATCTATCAGAGAAAATGGTTTGACTGGTAAGTATTTAGTTAGGCATCTATTTACAAGTATTATGTTGTTTTATGTGTTTGTATAGATGGATATGATGCTATGAAAAACATACGAGCTTTTCACTCTCCTGATAATTTATATGTAGAGAATTCGTGGAAATTTGTTGAACACCAAACTTTACTCTTACGTCATCTGTTTAGCTATCGCGCGTCTGCCAACACATTTGTTTGCCTTAGCTTTTAATTCGTTAGACCAACCGAATTCCGTTGATTAGCCAATTACAAAACTCCCACGCTTTATCAAAGTTCGTTTTATAGTCTGGTAAAAGATGCTGGTTGTCGTTGATTAACACTTGCACTGTAGTCTGTAGTCTTAGGCTCAGTGTATCGAAATAGTGCTAATAAATCCAAAGATATATATCAGTATCAGTGTATAAACTTTGAGAGAACAGCTTTGAACATATCCGGAGAAACATAACGACAAGTCTAGGAATAACCAGGTAGCGTTGTGAAAGAAAGGAGTTGTTTTGCTTCCAACCACTTCTTGTTTCTTAAAACTTTCATTCAACTGCTGATAATATGAACGGTCACGTGCTTTTCCGCGCGCTTCTAATGGAGACATTTTTATTAATTTCAGGCCGTACATTTGCTAGTACTTCTGTTGCTGCATGTGGTTGTGATCCTAATTTGGAAAAAAGGATAGAGACAGTCGAGATTGTGACTCTCACTTTAAATTTTAAAATGAACAATATTAAAGCGCGAACAGAGGAGCTGGAAACTAGACTTGAAGTTGAAGCTAGCCAGAAACGACCAAGTAAGCAGGAAGAAGTTAATGGAGAAAAAGAGCAGGAGATGAGTGTTTTGCAGAAAAAAATTGCTACACTAGAAGAAAATAACAGATCTTGTTTAAATGAATTAAGAACACTAAAGAAACAACTCGAAGATGTCTCTAAGAAGTTAGAATATCAATCACTAGATATAATGATGATCAAAGATACCTCAATTTCCCTAATAAAATCAGTAGCCGAATACATAAAGAATGATACAGTTCATGGACATCCAGAAGATTACAATGAGGGTGAGTCTTCTCTAGCTAGAAATATCATGAATTACTAAATATAATTCGTTTTATTTAAAAGTCGTGTATAGGGAAGAACATATTACATTCATCGAAATGTTGTTGTTTTTTTAATAAAAAATATCCTTTGAGGGTTTTACTAGTAGTTAATAGAACTAATTAATCGTTTGGTAACAATTGCTTTTAAAATAGTAAATGCAAAATATATTCAATTGTTATTTTGTATTCTTCAAATCTGTGGGAAGTTAAATACCGTTTATACCATGAGTATTATAACGGTTTAGGCCTCATCAACTTGCTGTCAGAGGTCTGGTAGACAAAATACAGATAGCTCATTGTGTAGCTTTGCACTATAATAAATAATAACAACCTGTAACCCCTACACCCAAGGCTTACTGTTAAAGCTGGTTCACTTTCTAAATACTACAGAATGTGTGCCTACAAAAAATAAAGTGCATCTCTCCATTTTACTTATGTAACTCACCGAGAATAGACCGCCCATACTTGCTGTAAAAACACAATTAGACATAATAGGCGGGCATGGCCAGGTGGTTAAAGCACTCGACTCGCAATCTGAGGGTCGCGGGTTCGAATCCCGGTCACACCAAACATGCTTGCCCTTTCAGCCGTGGGGGCGTTATAATGTGACGGTCAATCCCACTATTCGTTGGTAAAAGAATATCCCAAGAGTTGGCGGTAGGTGATGATGATTAGCTGCATTCCCTCTAATCTTACACTGATAAATTAGGGACGGCTAGCGCAGATAGCCCTCGTGTAGCTTTGCGCAAAATTCAAAAACAAACAAATAGACGTAATATTCGGCACATGAAGTGTAAGAATGTAAACTTGGAATAAATAAATAAACGGCGTACTTAAACTTATTTTGTCATAAAGTAACACAAAGAAAAATACAATAATTCAATGCTTGAGTTATAGAAAAATAGATGAAATTCATATGTAACTTTATATAAAATTTATTAAATCTCTACAAAACGCACAAGTATAACAATAGTTATCTGTACTCCAATAAGAAAAATACAACATAAGTAAAATAATAATTTCAACAATAATAATAAACTAGTTAAGGATATAATGAAGTTCACCATTTCTTAACTAGTTT